TTATAATTTTTTATTATTTTTATATATTTTTATTATTTTTATAATCTTCTGGAGTCGTGATATGGATTGTCAGATTTTGAAAATCCATTCGTTTTCGGCATGAACGCCTCTTTTAACAAAGGCAATTAGTTTAATAGATTGTAATTGAAATACGTAAGTTACTGCTGCAATACTTATCTGCATGATTGTAATATGTTGAACTTTGAATTTGAATGAAGATCTATTTTTGTACAATAATTGAATGTAAAGTTGGTGTAGCAAAATATCCAATGTCAATGGCATTTCATTTTGAAGCCTATGATAAACATTCAAAAATTTGTAGTATCGATTTTGGGTATTAATTAAATGAAAAAAAAAAATATTTTTAATTTTTTAAGTCCATTAGAGGCATCTGGCTTTTGAACAATTTGCGGTACGCCTTAACCGAATGCAATCGGGACCAAATATTATATGTGATATCTGTGACCGTGGTGTTACCGATTGAGAGGGTGAGACTGAAAAAAAATCATTCCTTTCATTTTTAAGGACTACCCTAATGTACGTATGGGGATAGTTTTAAGAAAATTTACTTGATCTAAGAATACAGTTCCTACTGGAGCTACTACAGTAAAACTAGTTGAAAACTGTAATATGTTTAGAAAAACTGGGCGTACACCCAGCCAGCCAAATCATCGTAAACGAGCTCGTAACTCGATATTTTCTCGAAGAAAAACCAGATTAAAGGTCGTTTATGATAGACGTTTACGATTCGTTTTCGAGTACAATTTCGCTTGAAACTGTCGAGTGCCTACGAATAGTCGTAAACGGATCGAAAAATGTGCTGACAAATTACTACAAGCCTCTGTCCATTATTATTATTTTTTTGTTTGATCGTTTACGAGCCTTTCTCTAACTTTGTAAAGTTCGTAAAATGTACGCTTTTTTTCTGGCTGGGCATACATACATACATACAAATATACCTACAAATATATGTAGAAAAGAGAAGAACGAAATTAGTGTTTATTAACATTTCTAAAGGAGCAGGTGTGAATGTAAGCTGAGAGGGTGAACATTTCATAATTACACGAGATTACGCTGCTCCACTTTCTACAATCGAGCTATGAGGGCGAATTAACTATGCAGAATGGATGTCAGTGGTACTAGCAACTGTTGCCTACTACCAAAGTCACTAACTTATGAATATTTTTGGTAAATGTTAGCCAACAAAAAGCGGAAACTACCAATACACTTACAGGATTACATTGGTAAGGCACGTGCGCCGTGTGCAGGTGAATGACGAAGACATACTATGTACATATGTACATACGAATAGATGCACACTTGCGAGAGGGCGCATTTTATATTACGTAGAAATAACTATTTAGCAATCGCCAGCATTTGAACTTGCGTGACTCCATTTGCATAAAGCCTATATAAGTACATGATATGCTCTGCACAGAAGGGCTCTGTCGCCAACTTCCAACCGGCAGCTACCGAACGTTGGTCGCACGCGCCATTCAATCACCAACGTCTGGGTCAACGTTGTAGGCCTAATCGTCAAGGATGGCTAGCTGGACATTTTACTGCCGAGTCTGGCGCTGACTACTATGGCTATTGTCCTTAGAATAGCGTTCTTAGCGTTGCGGTCGTGGTCGCGGTCGCCTTGTTCCTATTGTTTGCCTCTAAGACACCTCAGTCGTTCAACTAGCTAGTCAGTCATTCAGCCCGCCACCCTTTCTGATGTATGCCCTCTTAGCTCAATGGCCCTGCCTTTCAAGCATTCATTCAGTTAGTCAGTAATTCAGGCAGCCTATTCATCTAAGTAGTCGCGCTGCGCCACGCGGGTCATTTAGCCTTTTTCAGCCATGCTTTGTTTTTCTCTCGCTTGTTGTTAGTGTTTTTTTTGCCAGTGTTTGTTACTCTAACTCTCCCCTTTTCCCACAACGGTCGTCATAAGTTTTGTCTCTTCGTTTGCATTTTTGCTTTATTTTTAGTTAGTTTGTTTGTTGTTTGTTGGGGGCGCCCGTCGAAGAAGTTTTGCGTCAGTCGCGTCTGAGGTGCTTCAAGGGAAACAGGTGCGATTGCCTTTAGTGCTGCTGCTGCTCGCAAAAAGTGCCGGTGTAATGATTTTACTCTGCTTACTGCGTCTGTATGTGAGAAAGTGCCAGCGTTAGTCGGCTGGCTGGCTATGTACATTCAAAAATTCACAGTCGAAAAAAGTGTAAATAAAGAGTGAAACACTTGGTGCATTTATTGCAAAAACAACAATACATTCCACTAACACAAAACTGCTATTGAGTGTTAAGTGCGAATATGGATAGTGAGTGGCTCAAAAAGGGTTATAGCTAAGCTGGCCAGCGACCCGGCTAAGGGGTTTGTGGGACCGTGTCATTGTGTCTGTTCCACAAATTTATGAAAAATTATGCGACTTATGGCAAAAGTTTTTGAAAGTGTTTAAAAGTTGTTGTGTATTCAAGAGTTCGTTGGCTATTTGGCGCCACTGTTGCTCTTTTCAAGGTGAAGATTACGCGCGGCTTACGAAATGCTCGCTGTTGTAGAAAACTGTGAACAATTAACATGGTTTAAAGTCATTCAGCCCGCCAAAACTCATAAATTGATGTAGAGGGTTATGAAGAGTGCACTAGCTTGCAAGTCTAATTGCTAATGTTGTTAAAGTTGTTATCATTATTTAAATTTAAAATTTCCACATTTATGGAACTTAGTTCTAAAAGAATTCGGGAAGCAAAACAAACCATATAGCATGTATACTAAAATTTAAGGATATGACTGAATGTAGGTATAGGACATACGTTTGAATGGTGGGTTAACTAACTCTCTCTTCCAACTCGATGTTAGCTAGCTGATATTAATTCTCTAGACGTTAGGTAAATAATAAAATTTGAAATTAATTATTTCGGAATGCGCCTAAACGACTTATGTATTTACGTAGGTACCTACCGCATGAAAATAGCTTACCTTTCAAAGTTTTACTGAAACAGAAAACAAAGGGAAAATCATTTGAACCACTTTTTAATTTGTAGGCACACCTCCAAAAAATAGCATAATGGTCCAGTGGACCCCAAGCCAATAAAGAGATGCCACGTACGTTCTATTTTATATATCGACTCGAGTCCTTAATTGACCTTAAGTTTAAACCTTTATATTCGTTATCTTTACCACCTTTTAAATTTGAATAAACGGATATAAAAAATTTAAAGTTATTTACTTTTTTTCACGAATAAAAGTGTAAGTCTTTGCTATATGCCAAAAAACGTTTGCCGTATAATACTATATTTAAAGAAAGTAAATAAGGATGCACTTTGAAAAAAGTATATTTATTTTGCATATCAAAGCTAGCTAATTTCGTAAAGCTTGTTAAATAAAAGGATAAACAAATTAAAAGGAAAATCGCATCTTAAATAATTATTTAACATTTTTTAATACAAAATAATTACTTTTTAAAACGAGTGCATCACATTAAGCGTGTAAACCAAAATCGACGCACAAAAACATATAAAACAGCAAAAAGTACGTCCGTAGAAATCGATCTGTGTGTACCGACTGACGCCACACTAGTTTTCCAAACAACCTAAAATTATTGAATTAAACTCTATTAATAGCAGGTGAAGTCACAAAATCGATTTTAAATAGTTTCTATATAAAATATACATATACTCACAAAGTTTTACTGGGGTTCACTGGACCCCTCGAGCTCATACAAGTGGAGTCCAATTTAAATGTGAAGCATTGGAAACATTAAATTTTTCAGGAATAAGCCTTTCACTACTTAATCAACGCCCCTTATTGTCTCCGAAGTCTATATATATATATATATATATATATATATATATATAATAATAATAATAATAGATTGGCCCTTACACATATGTTAGTGTTTGGCCGAGCTTCTCCTCCGATTTGTGGCGTGCGCCTTGATGTTGTCACACAAATATATATATATATATGTAGTAATAATTCACACAACACTGCAAACAACTATGTAGGTATGTCCCCCTTTTGTTGTTATAAAGACTTTATTTTTAGATTAATATACAAAGTTACACGAAAGTGCAGGACATTTGGAACATCAGCTTCACTAAAACTACAGTTAACTCTACATACATACATATGTCTCTCGAAAAGTAAAACTTATAAAAAAAATCAATGACTTGAAAACACCTACAACAAACACCTAATGAGAAACGAAATCATTGCGAACATTTATGCGAAAGAGGGAGAGGGGCCATCGCTATTCGATATAATCATGCGATCGAAAGCGGCCGCGCGCAAACTTAATCAAGGTAAGGAAAAAGATGAAACACGCTGCATACATATATACGGGGGTGGTCCCAGAAGTACCCGGCCTAACCTAGAGATGGCGTCAGTTGTTTGAAAAATATCACTGTATTAAAAACTACACAATCTGTAAAGCATATGTTTCAAGTTTGAAGGCGCCACTTTGTTTAGTACACTGAGAAAAAAACGCATTATAAAAATGAAAATTTTTTATTTGATTACCGTTTAAAAATATTCGTGTTTAAATCGAGTGAAAAGGGAATATTTCCATTATACATACACTACGTATAATGGAAATATTCAATTCAAATATGCCCCTATCACGTTTATCAGTACAAATGCACTAATCGTGCGCTGTGATATTGATTCAAACTCAACATTTGAAAACACATTTACATGTATGGCTGTAGCTGAGTGTGCAAAGACGCTTGATACGATTGGGTGCTGCCAAGAGGGTCCGGGTTCAATTACCATCAGACGGACATAAACAATTTTTTTTCTTTTAAATTCTTTTTTTTCTTCTTAATTACGAAAAAGCATCTGTGCACTTCACAACGAAATCTTTTATAACGTACATACTCAAATTTAAAACAAGTTGGGTTGCTGCTCTTTCATATGCCTATTTTTTTTAATTTAATAAATTTTTTTTAATTCTAAATTTTTTTTCCCTCAGTGTATTTGTTTGGCAGCCGTCAATAGTGAACGTTTTCAGTAAATTTGTAAAAATGGAGAAAAGTGGTCATCGTTTCGTGATACAATACTTTTATTTGAAAGGTCTCAGCATATCCAATATAAAAGCTGAAATGGATTCTACTTTGGCCGAGTCTGCCCCTTCGTTTACAGCAGTAAAATATTGGGTAGCAGAGTTTAAACGAGGCCGTTCGAGCTGCCAAGACGAGCATCGCAGTGGTCGACCAAATGAGGTGACGACTCCAGAAATGGTCAAGAAAATCCACAAAGCGGTAATGAATGCTCGTCGACTGAAAGCACGCGAGGTAGCAGATATAGTAGGCATTTCAAAAAGTATATTATCTAAAGATTTGGAAATGAGAATGCTGTGTGCAAGATGGGTGCCGCGTTTGTTCACACTCGACCAAAAACAGTGTCGTGAAGAGGTTTCAATTGAGTGTTTAGCGAATTAATGAATTAATGTTTGAATTGCTACCTCATGCACCCTTTTCGCCAGATTTAGCCCTCTCGGACTATTTTCTGTTCCCGAACTTAAAAAAATGGCCCGTAGTCAAAGATTTTCTACCGATGAAGAAATGATGTCGGCAGTTAATTGCTATTTTGAGCAGCAAGACAGTTCTTATTATCAAAAGGGTATCGAACTTATTGAACATCGCTGGGAAAAGTGTATAGAGGTGAAAGGAGATTATGTTGAAAAATAAATATATTTTTTCCCAAAATTTTTGTGGTTTCTTTGTTAGGTCGGGTACTTTGGGACCACCCCCGTACATATGTATATTGAAAAATAGTTAGGCACATTTACGTTTAACTTACGTTGGATACTTACATTTATCAATATTTCTTCTGCTTGATGAGCTTTTTTGGCCTAAATGGCAGTTAGGGCAAGTAAAACAACTTTTTTCCATCACTGCTTTGCCCTACGTTTCGCTGAAACTCCTTAGCATCCTCAGAGGCGAATTCCGATATACATATGTATGTACTTACCAATAAATACTTGAAAACTTAAAGCGCAGTTTCCCACGTACGTAAAACGGGGAACGTGTCAGCTGACGCGATCTATCTTACAGCATACTCAGACGGCAGCGTTGATCAGGATCAATTCGTTAATACGGAATTATCTTGGGAATTAACTGCAGTTGATCCACATTAAGTCCTAGAGCTAATTCTCAAACTTAACTCGGATCACGGGAATATTCGATGACAACACTGACCGAAACTTAGAGAGCGTAGAATACAGAGAAAGGGCAAACCTAGCATGGACATATACCTTTTCATCGATAATGCAGTCACCATACTAATTCAAATAGGAATCCAATTGAAATTGAATAAGAACTTATTTGAATTAATACGGTAACTGCATTACCGACGACAAGGTGGATGTCCATGATAGTTTTGAATTTTCTTTGTGTGCGGGTTCTTTTAAGTACCCAACCCGCCTAAGTACCTCAAAAACCTGACATTTTTCGTGAGGTACTTAAGCGGGTTTTACGGTATTTGAATAAAATAAACATACTTAGAAGATATCAACCAATATCTCCCATATACCAAACGAAAAGAAAACTCTTGAATTTCTGATTATAGTCCGGTCAAATTATACCAAAAATAGGAGTGAAGTTACAAAAACTCCCACCCAGCTGAAAATTGGTAGGATTGTCTAGAAAGTCCTCATCAATCCGATACCTGGAAAAAAAGTTACTCGGGGTCAGAGGTTTGCGATTTTCAGCAAAACGTTAAGTTAATCATAAAATTAGTTTAGACAAAAATTGTATATCAGATAATTATCTATAAAAAATTTCTAAATTTTTTTTCTCCTAAGAGCGACCGTTTCCGAGATATAACGATTCAAAAAGTTGTAAGAGTTGTAATCGTCATAACACGCACACGTTTCCACGCCACCATTGTTGTACTTATACATTTGACCACGAGTAACTTTTTTTCTAGGTACCGGATCGATGAGGACTTTTTAGATTTCATTTATGATAGTGTTTTGAACAATCCTACCAATTTTCAGCTGGGTGGGAATTTTTGTAACCTCCAATGTCTAAATTGACCGGACAAACAAAATCATTAGAGCAGTTTTCGAGCATTTTGGTATAAAAAAGAATAGCTAATTTTTTCAACAAGTTTTTGCCTTAAAATGCTCAATATTTACTGAATTTATATAAAATTTGTTCGCGATAATATTTCTATTGCTCCAAAGAACCTATATCCTGAAAATTATATCTGCAAATTATAAGTTGCTAGAGCAGTGTAAAGTAGGGATGTGCCGGATGTCCGGCAGATATCCGAAATACGGCTTATCCGGCCGTTTTTATGTTATCTGACTATCCGGCCGGATACAGGTTAAAATCCGGCTTTCTATTATAGAAGATTCAGTTTAACTTCAATCTAACTCAGACTTTTTTCTTTGAATATTCATAATCAAATTTAATAGTATCTAATTAGTAATTAAAGGTAAAAATTTATATACTTTCCATTATGAAAAGAGGCATTTCCGCATTATCGGGCAACAACCTATATCTATTTTCAGGATAAATGCCACCCGGTACACATTTTTTTTTAGTTCATTGCCAATGTAAACTAATTTGGAAATTCTTTGCGGCTATGCTTCCACCAAATCAAACGATCTTCTTGTCTGGGTATAAGGGGTAGCTGTAAATATTTCTCGCTGCCTTTTCTACCCATCGTTTGGCTATCCACATATCCACATTTTTTTTCTGTGCTTTAAATACCTGCATTAGTTTCTTTCTTTATTATGATTTTTTTTGGACCAATCTTAAAAAAAAACTACTAGACATAAAAGAAGCATGTGAAGCACTGTAATTATAAACCAAATTCTCGTGATTTGCTTTGGATGTCACATATGTATATTCGTTTAAATCATTTCAAATAGGGAATTTATTTTTAGGAAAAATTTCAAAAACAGTAATTTTGTTTACTTGTCGGGCAATATTGATATACACTGGATCCATGATTCAATAATACAAGGTTGTGTAATTTGTGACAGCTAAAATTTGACACTCCTTTATCTAGATTTGTATTTTGGAAGTAGGAGAAAGGGGAATAATAAGATCGCCTTTTGCGAAAACGGTAGTAGAAAGGTACTACAAAAAGTACGCAAAGTATACAATTAGGAGTAAAATGTGTATTATTTATTCCNCACTCCTTTATCTAGATTTGTATTTTGGAAGTAGGAGAAAGGGGAATAATAAGATCGCCTTTTGCGAAAACGGTAGTAGAAAGGTACTACAAAAAGTACGCAAAGTATACAATTAGGAGTAAAATGTGTATTATTTATTCCATGCGAATTTGCAATATATTTGGTGTTTTAATGGAAATACTAAACAATACATAAATATGTACATTTTTGATTTAAGTTATTCATCATTTCCTGGAACCGACCGTTCAGCTATGCAAAAAGGATACTGCAGATAAGTAGAACTCATTTCAACCATGCCAAAATTATTTGGCGCAAGTAAAAAAATCAAGACGTTCTAGAAGGTTAAAGTTCAGTTTTTAAATTTTTTAAATATTAATATCTTACGAACTGTAGGCATAACCGATAAAAAAACTAATGACGCCACCATAAAGATAACTAATTTGTCTTTCAGCTGGTGTACATAATTTGTAGCTTCTTGTATTTTTAAACCAAAACCACTAAAAAACGAACAAATGTTATTTTTTCATGAAATAATATTTTTTGAAAAAACTGCATAATTGTAAAGAAATTTATATTATTTAGAAAGTACAAGTTATTATCTTTAATTCGATATTACATATTTTATCATGATGTACTTTTGGGTTTCAACAATTCAGTGCCCTGCAAAAGTGGGACTAGGTTAAACACTGGTACAGGACCACGAAACCGTGTAACCAACACTAGTAACCAAAATGGTCCAAATATAAGGAGAAAACATGGTTACAATAACATTGCGATGCCATTGGACCTGACCACCTCTGGTCCAACGCTGCATAACATGGAACCACCTAGACAACTACTCCTTTTGGACCATGGCACATTCGGCAACCGAATCATATTGCCGATGGGCCACGAAGAGATGGTGTTCAACACATATATCAGTTTTTTACGTTTAAAGAGGTTCAGGTCAGCATAACAAGTTACTAGTATGAAGCCTGGTCCTTTTGCACATACATTAAAACCACGACCCAGTGGACAACCTGGTCCTCAAATTTTTGCAGGGTGATAATAAAAAATACAAATAAACAAAGCAAATAAACCTCTTATATCTTCGTTATTTTTTGCCTGCGCCAAATATTGGTATCGTAGTAATCAGCGTAAAAAGTTCTATCTATCGGCATTTTTGGTTATTTTATAGCTAAACGGTCACTATTCTACACTTGTTCTAGAAAATTACATTTAGTATGACGAATTTTTGGTTTTACTACTAATATCACTAGAAACTGTAGAGTAAGCAACATTCTGCTCAAGTAAAGGAGCCGATTTTATGTGTGGGAGCGAGAAGACTGTTTTATTACAAAACCTTTCTATTATTGAATCATGCACTGGATCTATGGCTAAACACTTATGCGGCAAAACTGTCCACCTACGTATCCTAGCTTTGCTATTTAAAGTCAAAGAGTAAGTTCCTTTAACTAGAAACTAGAATTCAAGTCTCACATAAATTCCTGCGTGATTAGGGCTAGAGGATTGTTGGCTTTTCTTAAGCGCTGGGCCAAGGAGTTCAACGATCCTTATGTCACTAAAGTTCTCTTTACCTCTCTAGTTAGACCGATTTTGGAGTATGCATCTATAGTATGGAATCCTAGCTATCAAATTCATAGTGACAGGCTCGAATCAGTGCAGAAACAGTTCCTGTTATTTGCCCTCAAAAATTTATGTTGGGACTCGTCTAAAAATCTCCCACCCTACAAGGATCGCCTGAAGCTTATAGATTTGCCGACGCTTCAGAGTCGTAGAGAGATGCTTGGTGTTCTTTTTTTAATTAAATTAATGAACGGGATGGTCAGTAGTCCCTTTTTACTGAGTGAGATAATTTTTTGTATTCTTACAAGACCCACGAGACATTTTAAACCTATTGTGTTGAGTATTTGTAAATCAAACTTTGAAATGCATGATGCTTTTCGGTGCTTATGCCAAGATTTTAACAAGCATTATGATTGCATCGACATATCTGAATCGCTTTTTGTAATAAAGAAAACATTGCTCAACAAGTTAACTAAATAAACTAATATCTGCAACCGTGAACGAAAAAATTACACAATATCTATGACTGCTTAGTACAATTGTAACGGCTTCGTATATTTCCGCGACCGCGTAGGACAATAGGAGCAGGGATCGGAAACTCGGCCTTTCCGACCTCGCCCAACAGTTCGTCTATAGCGTGGAGCGGAAACTAGGACTTTCCGCCTGCCTCACTTACAAAGTAACGACTACGGGAACATGGATCGGAAGCTCGGCCTTTCCGACCAT